ATTTGACTTTGACTAACAGTTTTAACAGAAAGGACTAACGTGGTTCTTTTTAAAATGATAAAGGATCATATTGAAACTTTTAAAAGATAAAGGATCAAAATGGATCCCGAGGTAAAGATAAGGGACTAAAAAGGGTATTAAGCCTATTTAAATTGATTAGTAATTCTTTTGTTGCTCGATTCTATTTTTGCGACTTGCCTGCTTCCATGTTTTTGGCTAACTTTGCCTTGATTAATTGATGATATTTCATCTTGATGCTTTTCCTTGATGAATCTAATTAATCTGTGATACTTTGTCACATATCTTTGTTGCTTTATTATTCGTGATGCTTTGCCACATATCTTTGTTTCTTTATTATTCGTGATGCTTTGCCACATATCTTTGTCGTTTTATGCTACATGATGTTTTGCTGTGAACGTTGTTGATTTTGTCTGTGGATTTTACACGATGTTTTGTCGTGAATATTGTTGATTCTCTTTGTTGTTTTACATGATGTTCTTGCCATGTACTTTCTGTTTGTTGATATCATTTAGCTTGATTCACATGATGTTTTTCCATGTATCTGTTACTTTCCTACATGATATTTTTCCATGTGTATTTCGTTGATTCCATTTGTTGTCTGATCATACCTTGTTTCTTGATGACTACATGATGTTTTACCATGTGTTTGTGAATTTTACATGATGCTTTTTCATGTACATTGTCAATGTTTATACATGATATTTTTCCATATACATTGTTAATGTTTCTATATGATGCTTTACCATGTACATTGTTGACGTTTCTACATGATGCTTTGTCATGTGTGCTTTATAGATTACATGATGATTTTCCATGTATCTATTGCTTTCTTTGACATTTGTGACTTAATCTAAGGGAAAGGATTGTATGTTGACTTATTGTCATTGTGCATATCCTGTATGTTTGTTGTTTTGTCTTGCCTATCTTTTTTCTTTCTTTGCCCATCTTTTACCCTTTAGCAAACATCTTTAGCCAAATCACAAAATTTTCAAGAGGTTCTTGTAGAGTACTGCATATGTGTAATACCCCAAATTTTCCCCTTAGATTAATCGTTTCATTTCATTTTTGCATTGCGTTTAACTAACCACTAACAGGTTTATGTAGTCTGTTGGTTTTGCAGAAAAAATCATGTTGGGCGCTCCTTAACCGACGAAGGGCAAAATGGTCATTAATTTGTAGTCTGCTGACAATTTATGAAGCTGAGTTATCTTCAGTAATTCCTCAAGTGATTAGGGTTTCCGTCATCGAGCCAGGTGATTTATTTGAGATTGAATTGAATTTTACGACGGTTTTGACGTCGGATTTCTAGCAATATAGCGCATTCTATTCAAGGGCCGAATTTCAGTCGTCAGGCGGGTTTCAGAGATACTCTTTGATTCCAGAACTATATGGGGTTGAATATGTCGAGGTATCAGTGGATTCAAGTTAAAACGGTGCGGGAATTGGGTTTGCGAAATTTATTTTAACAGACGCACGTTTCCTGCTTTTTGCTGGTTATTGGTCGATATTGGAAGGAAACAGTGGAATTTCATTTAGTGTTAGAACTTATAATGAGTAGCTTGTTGTTTTGACCAAGACGGGTAGTCGAGCTGATTCAGGTGGCCGAGTTAAAGCAGTCAAGATGCATTTTGAATTTTCGATACAAAAAATAGTTAGTTCTGCTGTTAATTGAATTTTCTCGGTTTATCTGTTCATGGCCGCATGTCCCGGTTTAATCGAATAAATCTCGTTAGAGGAATTTAATCAGGTTAATTCAGTTTATTTGGCTTTATTTGTTTGAGCTTATATGTTAGAATTTAATCTAATAATTTTGGTCGGTTGAGTTTATTCATTGGAATTTAATCGAAAGAAGTGCTTCGGAGAATTTAACCAGGAAGGTAATTGCAAGAAAATAATTAATTTGATTTTATTTGGATGAAGAGTTTAGCCATTGGGAGTTAATCGAACCAGTTGGATTTATTCGGATGAGGTTATTCGTTTAAGTTACCGGATGAGTTATTCGGAGATTTTATCGGAGATGGGATTTAATCGGATAAATTGGATTTAGAAATTCAAATTAATAGAAAAATAGAATTTTATTTTATTATTTTGTTACAATATCCAAATAATGAAATAGAATTTTTATTTATGCTATTATTTTATTACAATGTCCAAAGAGAATAAAATTTACAAATTAAATTATATTTTTTTCTAAATTCCTACAAAAGTCCTAATTGTCCTAAAAAATCTTCTGCTTCCGATTCTTCGAGGCTCCGATATTTTCTTCGAACCTGCAAGTCAACAACAAACAAGCAATTTTTAATTGGTTAGGAAAATATTTTTATCGATCCAATACCCTCGGCTTAATGTCATCATCGGGTACGTCGGGAGGGCAACGACGGAGTCGTCGCCGGCTCCCGACTCATTTCTAACCATGACACAAGACCGGCAATAATCTGTTCGAGTTATCCAACCAGGAGAGAGTAAAAGAGTTTTTAAAAAAATGATTCGCGAAAAAGTGATTCTTGAAAAGTGCTTTTGGGAAAACCTCAATTCAATTACTCATTAAAAAAACCTCAAACTCAGTCATTAATTACTTTGCTGATTTTTTCGCGTTTGAATATCATAATCTTTAAATTGTGTATCCTAAATGCATGATGAGAATTCATGATATTAACAATTTAATGCAATAAATTAATAAGATAGTAAGTTCTGTGATTCATTTGTTGATCTTTTTTTATCAAAACAAAATCAATTAATATCATTAGTCAGAAAATGTTTAATACAAAGAGGATCTAAATTCAAATAAATACGTTTAGGCTAAGAATTGGTCGCCCTAGCAAGAGAATGGACAACCATATTCACTTGACGTCTAATGAGCTTTACCTCAAAGTTAGTATTGACAAATAACAAAGCTTTTATATAATTAATAATAAAATAAAACTCAGAACCACCATTATGATTGTAGTGAATGACTTGAACAACTATTTGGGAATCACTTTTGAACACCACATTTTTCAGATTCTATTCAATGGATTCGTGGATTGCTTCCTTAAGGGCCAAAGCGTCAGCTTCATTCACGAACATGATTCTGGGATCCCAAGCCACACCTGCAGAAATGAAATTCTCAATGTGATCACGCACACACCAATCCCTATTAGAAGTTTCAGTTTGATTCTTGAACGCCACATCCACATTACATTTTATTCATCCTTCCCTAGGTGGGCTCTAAGTAAAAAGTACATGTTGGTTATTGTTCGAAATATGCACGTTTTGGACCAAAAATCATTCCTGTCACTTGTGAAAAGCTAACTACCCAAGCTTAAGAGCTTTCTCGAATTCATTGTTCCAAATCTGGTTATTCTTATTCCTCCATATCTCATCTAACATGACCACAACTCTACCAGCATCCTTCCTATCCTCCTTACTACAAATATCAAATATAAGTGATTTAGCATCATGGAAATAATATAATCGAGCATCAATAATAATAGACAAATTTGTTTCCCTCCAACAATGAATAATCTCACTACAACCAAAGAATAGGTGACAATTATCCTCTAGATTACTCTCGCAAAATTGACAAGTAGATGGACAAGGGACATGGTGTTGTCGGAGTCTAGCACGAGTTGGTAAGCAGTCTTTAAAAATTCTCCACAATAGTTGCTTAACCCTTGGTGGAGCTTTAATATTCCAGAGACTATTTCAACCCTTGTTTTCATTCTCATCTTTCCTTCGTAAGCTTCTCCATAACTTGTAACCAAAACGCACACTGTAGGACCCATTTTGTTCTTCCTTCCAGTTCATCCTATCCTCTTTGACCTCCTCCAACAGAGGCACTTGCAAGATTTCTTCGGCATATGCACAATTAAACACTTCTCTAATAGCCTTAAAATTCCATTGTTTCACATTAGGAAACATAAGAGTTCTAACAGTAATGTCGTATGCACCTTGGTTCTGGGGACCACTCAGACACCATTCCCTCTTACCCTTGATCTAAGCCTCTTGCATAACCTTGATGTGACTACCATCTCCAATGCTCCACCTGCAACCTAAAGATAAGACTTTCTTCGCCTTCCAAATACTCCTCCACACAAAACTAGGATTATAACTAAGATTAGTTTCAAGGTAAGAAAGTACCTTGCTTTGAAAATTCTGGAGACCAGAGCCTGAGGTTTAGACATCAGGTTCCATCCTTGTTTAGCAACCATGTCCATATTAAAAGCTTTAAAAACTCTAAACCCTAATCCATCTTCATTCTTAGAACAAGCCAGCTTATCTCAGGCCATCCAGTGGATTCCCCGATTATTACCACCTCCTCCCCACCAAAAGGCATTAAGCATCTTCTCAATATCATTACAAACCACTTCTGGGAGAATAAAAAGGCTCATAACATAGGACAATATAGCTTGGAGCGCTGATTTTAGCATAACTTCCTTTCTTGCTTTAGATAATGCTCAACCTCTCCAGAAATTAATTGTTCTAAATACGATCTTTGATAAAAGAAAAAGTTGTCTTCTTATTTCTACCAATCATAGATGGTAAACCTAAATACTTTCTCATACCCAATACATGACGAACACCCATAATGTCAGCTAGATCCTCCTTGGCTGAATTACTAATGTTATGGCTAAAAAACACTTCAGATTTAGTCAAGTTTATCTCCTGCCCTGAGGCATCAACGTAAGTACTGAGTAACATCATGAGATGTCTAACTTCATAGAGATTAGTGTGCAAAACAAAAAACATCGTCAGCAAAAAGAAGTCGGGACACAGTGGGTGCCCCCCTACAGATTTGGATCTAGTGTATGTCTTCTCTAGCCACTGCTCCATTTACAAGAGCTGAAAGACCTTCAGACATTAAAATAAAAAGGTAAGGAGATAGTTTGTCCCCTTGCCTCAATCCTTTCCCCGATTCAATCGATTCAACTCTATCTGAATTAACAAGAACAATATAGTGCACCAAAGTAACACACATCATCATCCAATGAATCCACCGATCAGCACAACCCCATTCTATAGAGCATACCACGAAGAAAACCCCAATCCACTATATCATATGCCTTAATAATGTCAACCTTAAGCCCCAACCGAGCCTTATTTCCTTTAGTCTTTCTCTTAAGAGCATGGATAACCTCTATAGCAATCATCACACTATCCATAATAGAACAACCCTCCACAAATGTCGATTGTTCCTCCGTCACACATTTACCAAGCATCACCTTCAGCCTATTAACGAGAGCTTTGGACAATAGTTTGTAGATCACATTACAAAGAGAAATAGGACGAAAATCCTTCATATTATGAGGGTTGACACTTTTATGGATCAAACAAACATTTGTATCATTAAGCGGCGACAGGAAAAATCCTCTATCAATCCAAAGCTTGGCTGCCTCGAAAATATCTAAACCACACAAGTCCCAAAAATTCTGATAGAGAGAGAGAAGACATATACTATGAAAATGTTATTTTAATATTAGAACATGAGAATATATATATATATATATATATATATATATATATATATATATATATATATATATATATATATATATATATATATATATATATATATATATATATATATATATATATATATATATATATATATATATATATATATATATATATATATATATATATATATATATATATATATATATATATATATATATATATATATATATATATATATATATATATATATATATATAACATCAAAACGTAGGGAAACATGTAATGTAAGGATGCAAAATTCTTAGATAGAAACAACCATAAGAAATAGTTTTACAACAGCCAATCATAATTTTTTATTAATTAAAAAATAAAAATAATTTGTTTTCTTCATAATCACAACCATCCCATAAATTCAATTAAAAAATAAATTAAATTTTAAATAACTTAAAAGAAATTTCTCTTCTTATTAGATATTTCTAAAAATATAGATTTAGATTCGTATTCATGCAAGTATTTCTATGTGAGGCTAATATTCCATTCCACCCGCCATAAACCTTACATAATGATTTCTGACTCAAAATGGGGACAGGTTCATATAAAAGTTTACTCCATTTATTATACCAATGTGTTCATCAATGAACCATCATCACTAACTACCATTCCAGATTATACAAATCAGTCCAACGGAGTTCTTGTAAAAGCACCATGAGATCTGGTGTGTTTGTATCTGTTCCAATGATAGGAACTCAAAAACTTCTCCATCTCACATTTGAGAAACTGAATATCTTCTTTCTCAGCATACCACCACAGTCTTATTACATACCAATCTCACCCTCCTAGTTCATTCCGAATTTTGTAGCTCTTATTACTAACCTAGACTATAATGAGCAGTTTCTATGTATAATAACAAGAAGAAGGTTTAACAGTTACCAAGGCATGAGGTAAATTTCAGTGGTACATATAGTTACAACATCTTGCAAAATATTGAGTAAGAAAATGAATTTAATTTTCAAGTTCTTTCAATGCTCTTTTCAATCACGGCGCACATAGCTTCTGAGAAAACTACCGAATCAGAGATGAGACAAATTCTAAGTATTTCTTGTATTATTGTTGTGAAAGTGTGGATCAGACTCATCCTACATTTCAGATTATGAGTCAAAGACAGTGAAAAGTTAAAACCAAGTACAAATTATTCTATTCCAACTTCCAAGTTCAATTACGAGTAATATATGGTATATGTCATGAACAAACCTGAAGACCATATCCAAAAGTGGTTGTCGGACGATATTCCAATTGCCCTCCTCCCTACATGAACCAACCCACAGTTAGCAAACTTTTATCCTATTAATGTTAGTCAATTCATATAACTTCTCATCATTTCATAGGAATGAAAGAAAATACTCAACCATCCCATGAATGCTTTGCTGTGTTCCGAAAAACCCATCATGGCTTGGAGCCATAGAATTCAATGGACCCTACAAGCATATGAATATCGATTAATAATCCTATTTGTTCCTGTATAGTTAGTTATATAACACAATCGTATCGGAAGGTTATAATCAGGATTAGGACAACTTACCAGGCCTTGCATGCTGTGTTGATTAACATAGTAACCATCATGAGGCGGCTCCATTAAGTTCAATTGTACCTGCTACAGAAAGCAAGATTATTAATTAAGCATTACATTGAGTTCCGTAAAATAAAATACAGAACATATACAATCATATGTTGGTTAACATGTAAATTTACCAGCCCTTGCACATTCTGCTGAGTACCATAATATCCATTAAGGGTCATTGCATCCGAGGTAAGATTATCCTGAAGAAAACAATCACATGTTACAGCAAGCACATGCTATAGATGCTTATTTGTATAATCTAAAATATATCAAGAATGAAACAGAGAAAACATAAACCATTTGCTGCAGGCTATCTTGAGTGTCGACAAGCACAGGATTCTGCTCTTGTTGCACCTATAAAGTGATTCTCAAATTAATTTCCTGATCTTTTAAATGCTAGAAAGCCAAAACGACTTAACACATAAGCAGGACAGCCACAATACTTAGAACTGACCTTTCTTTTCCGAGTTGTGTTCCTCTTCTTACTTGGTTTCAAAGCAAGGGTACCCTGATTTTCTTCTGCTTCACGAAGACTACAACCACTGTTCCCGGTTTCTGCACCATTGTCGGTAGCGTTATTTACAAGTACACAGTTCTTCAGGCTATCGACAAGTCCACGGAGAGCAACATTGTAACTCTCTTCAGATAACGATCCTTCTTCACTCAATTCAATAGCTCGTTTACACAAATCATTATAGCGTTGAACCCTAGTTTGTATCCTTCTTGTACTATCTGCTATTGGTTCCCTAATTTTGGCATCTTTGGTCCACCTCTTTATTATATATTGAGCTGGAACACTCGAACAACCGCAACGTTGGAGAACACTCAATGCGTGTCTGCAAAGGAAACCTTTATATTCAAATAATCGACAGAAGCAAGAGACCTCTAAGCTCAAATCATTCCAAGTAACCAAAAACTCTTCATCCTTCTCATAATCTTGAACAATAAATTTTGCAACAGTTTCATCTCCAACCTCTATCCTAGACTGACAACCAGCTACACCCAACACTTCAACTTGGAATTTCTTAAATATTGCATGTGTGTAAATAGTTGACATTTGTTTTTCCCAAGGTGAAGGAGATTTAAGGGCGGGCTGTTTGTGCAATGTATCGAAATCTGCGACGGATTCCTCCTCATACCTGTTTTGAAGAATTAACCCGTATAGTTTTATGAACTCTTTAAGGGTGATTTTCTTATGAATGTATTTGTCAAAGAAAGAATTCATACTCTCGGAACGTTGAGGTGTGGACAATCCAGCTAAAAAGACACCCCCCATGAATGTTGGTACCCACTTTTTCCGGTTTTCATACAATGAATGAAACCATAGATCATCCTGGAGTTCAAATATAGTCACCATTTCCCACCATCTCATGTCAAACTCTTCATCTGTCCAAGACTTAAAAATGCAGTTGTTAAACTTTGGCAAGAAGTTCTTATACTGTTTTATCACAAAAGACAGATTTTCAGGTATCTTTTCCAATATGTGCCAAAGAGAAAAGCAATGCTGAGCATTTGGGAAGACTTCTTCAATTGCTTCCTTCAAGGCTTTGTCTTGATCAGTGACTATAACTTTGGGAGCTTGTCCTCCCATCGCTCTAAGCCATGTCTTCAGTAACCAAACAAAAGTTGGCTTAGTCTCGTCTGCAATCAATGCACACCCAAGCAACATAGGTTGAGAGTGATGATTCACTCCAACAAAAGGAGCAAAAGGCAATTTATCATTGCTCTTTATGTAGGTAGTATCAAATGAAACCGCATCATTAAAGCTGAGATAATCATTAATACTTTTTGCATCAACCCAAAATAGATTTCTTAAACGTTGTTCTTCATTTAAATCTATAGAATAGAAGAAGTTGGGGCTCTTCTTTTGAACGTGCTTGAAATACTCCAGCATAACTTGGGCATCTCCCTCGTCCAAAGCCAGATACTGGCCTCTGTCAAACTGATAATTCATATCACTCGCAAGAGACCCAATGTTTTGACAGCCACCAGATTGTCTAGACATTTCAACAAACATCTTTCTCGTGCGTTCACTAACGGCATGCAAGATATCCATATTATTCTTGTCAGCTAGCTTCACATTTCTATGAATCCGAAAATGATACGCCAGAGCTGGTAAAAGTTCATGATTGTGATCCTTTATAAATTCATGAATGATCCACTTTCCATCTTGCTTTTTCTTCACATGCATGCAAGCTTTGCAATCTGTCTTCTTTACACTCGGTCTTCGACTGCTACCACCATCAGACTCCGGTGTTACTCCATATCTAGAGCATGCGAATTTGGCATCAATAAACTCTTTTGTCTTCTTCGAGCGCCTGCTGTTCTTAATCGAAGTGGTGAATCCCATAGATTTGGCATATTCTTGATAAAATGCATACGCCGCTTCATGAGATTCAAACTCAATCCCATTGGGTGGCTCAAAATCTTTGTCCCCATCAAAGAAAGCTATGTCCCTCTTAGGAGAAGCAACAAGTGCACTACCCCTGCAATCCTCTTCATTGACCGCATCACCCATACCTCCACTCACTGCACTACCATCATTCCATTCTAAGCACCTTCCACAATCTAACCTGTAGTCGAACTGCAGCCACTCGCTGTAAAATACAGAAAAACAAAGTTTCTAATAAGCAAAACGACCAAACTCTAGACATCTATTTTATCTAATTCGTTGATTTATAAATATCAAAAACTTGCTTACATCAGTACATTTTCAGAAAATACAACAAAAAAATCCCCTATCTGTGTCAACAACTTGTTTACATTATTAGTATCAACAATTTATTCACATTAGTACATTATAAGTATCTACAAATTGTTTACATTAGTACATAAATATAACAATTTCAATGTTTTCTTAGACAACAAGTAGTCTGTTTTTACAAGCAAATTTAACACCTTTATGCTATGAAACTCTTAGAGGTGACTAGAATTACAAAACACACCTCTTGTTTCATCAAATCACGTTAATTTCAGCATCTTCACAAACAACTAATAAGCATAAAAAAAAATCTTTGTAAAAGTGTGAAGAACTACTAGTACAAGGGAAGAGGGAGAAAGAAGGAACCTTAAAAAGCGGGGAAGGATCACGAGCTGCGAGCGAGTACGAAAATGTGAAGTGGATCCGCGAGTGGGGGAAAAGCGCGAGTGAGAAAGCTAGGGTTTTGAAAATTGGGGGAAAATTGAAAATTATGGATGGATTGGATCGGAGAGGAACTCAAACTCAACTCGCTTGGCTCACTCGCTGCTTTCTGCGTCTGCAATCATGGCGCGTCCTGTAACTATTTTTCTTTTCTCTTTTTTTATTGTTTATTTGATTTTTGTCTCTACACGCGTTTTTCACGCTCTCTTTGTAGACTTAAACGACGACGTAGCGCGTGACTTTTAGATTTGTCTTTCCAGCTGTTCCCCACGACGCAGGAGATTGCGTTCGGACCACTTTCCTCCTCCGTCAACTCTCTTTCACTAATCTTATCTAATTTAGAATTATGAAAAATGAAAGAAAAATTATAAAAAATGTAAAATTTGTTCTAAATTGATGAAAAAAGTGCATCTTAGAAAAAATAATGATAAAACAATGCAAATTTTAATATAGACAAAGGGGACAAATGGCATATGATAGACTATGGTTAAAGATATAAATGTAAATTTTAATATAAACATTTTGATATAATGGTTAACAATAAGGCTCCATCATGAGTTTGATGCTTTATTATTCTCCATTTCCTCTCTTCTTCATTTTGTATATTACACTATTTTAAAGATATAAATGTAATAATAGGACATTTGATGGATTTATTTTTTATTTTTTATATACTATAAATGTCGTTAAACGAATTTTTTTATCTAAAAATCTTTAAGAATTTCTTGCATTTTTAAAATGTCTTGTGTGTTGAAACTGAGCTCGTGACCTATGCTAGAGTAGTTTAGATGTGATGAAGGGGTCATTGGTGTGCGGCTTGGACGATTGAAGGGGAACATTGGTGTGAAGGCTTCATTGGTGAAAGGTTGAAATGGTATTGGTGCTTGAAAGTCATAAGGTTGTTGTGATGTTTGTGTGTGTAGGCTATAGTGTGATGTTTGAGCATTTTGCCTATGGAAAGATGTTTGGGCGTTATGGTCATGGTATGATGTTTGGGCGTTTTGGCTATATCTTAATGTCGTGTTGGGGCATGTACATTTTGGGTGTCTTTTTATAATAGTTATTTTGTTGGAGATGATATGGGGGAACGCTCTTGGTATTGTGGTTGGGTGTTTGACATGTTTGGATGGTGGATTTGTGTGTTTGTGGGTTGGTGATTTTGTTGGGTATGAGGTTGTGAGTAACATGTATGATAATCTCCTGGTGGGTTGGATTTTGAAGCTTCTTATTATGTATAGGTGGTTTGTCGTGGGTCGTATAGATACCTTTCTTCGGAGACAAACCCGGTTGCAACCGATCTGTACCAAGCCATATAAGTATTAGTTAGTATAGACGGGGTTGCAATCACCGGGTCACGTAAGACATGGGCACGACGATTCCTCCATTTACGACACTCAAATTTAGCAAAATCTTTCCAGTCGGGATAGTCCCATTGATCACTAACTTTTTGTAATGCCACTTATCGAGGTCAATCAGGGGATCTGGAAAGTTTTAATGCATTCCAAACTGTAGTTTGACACGGTCACTATGGTGCATCTCTATCATGGTGAATCTGATGATCGACACGCATGTAATCCAAACGGCTACATTTTCCTCTCTGACTTCATGTAGGTGTTCCATGTTTAGATATGGACGCCAAATGAACTGAAGAAGAGAAAAATATTAGATCATATAATGGGTGATATAAAAAATAAACTGATTCATTTAGTGGCCTTACATCTCCAGGTGTAAGGTGATCAAAGAGATTGCGGTATTGAATGATACAATGTCTAGGACATCTATTATAAATCATACCGCAAGCCGATCATTTAAACAACAAAAAGTTCAAATAGATTAGGTAGACACAATAATTGTAAGGTGGATTAACTAATATTAAGTTATTAACTTACTTTTGTGCATACGAGAATGAGAAGTTGTTGTGGTTGACAAGCGCTAGGGATGACAATCTAGACCAACCCCATGCTTGGAGTAAAACGGAGTATCTAAAAAATATAGATGTGTTTTTTTTCGCGCACTTACACAAAGATCTATACAAATAAGAAAAACAAGTGAAATCCCAACTATATTCTCCTGTTTTATCTAGGTTTCTCAATAAGGGTAAATACATAACATGCATAGTAGAATCAGTACCTTCGGGAAATAAAAATGAACCAAGTAAAACCATAAGATAACCCCTGGTTTTTATTATTTTCATTTCTTCGATAGAATTTTCATCTAGTATTAAATTGTTGTACCATGCTTTGAGACACGAAAGTAAGATACCTTGGCCTCTTGGGTTATGATCCAACAAGTCGGCACCCAAAAGTTTCTCACAAATTGAATTTTCAAAGGTTATTTTTCCATTGACCGCCTTACCATCAATACGTAACTCAAGTGACATGTACCTCTAACGTCACGATAGCTTCACCGGTTGGAAAAAATAAAATGTGTATCTCTGGGCGCCATCTCTCTTGTAAAGATATTATAAACTTTGTATCAATCAAGTAAGACATGATTTTGCTTACATGTTCGAAATCGATGAGCTCAATATAAAGTACAATTAATTCATCGGAGGCAACATGTTCATGGACACTAGGACAAAACTGAGAGACATCCTACAAAAATAAAAATAAATATTTACACATTTACACATTGTCAATAGAGAAAAAAATAAACACATACACATTTAGGGATAGTGGAGTAAACACTTAAATAATTCTCAATGTTAACGACAATGCCTCTGTGCATTCCTAGAACACACTCTAGATGATTATCTCTGATTAAATGTTTCTGATGATGCATTCCTAGAACACACTCTAGATGAATTTATATAGGAACATAGGGACATGCATGTGAATAAAGTGTCAAATGAGTGCAACAAGGTGATGCCAATTGAATTGGCGATCTTGTTCAAGATGTGAGAAGTGTCGCCATTCCAAATGGATACTCCTAGGCACGTGAATCTGAACATAGCCTGAGACATAGAGACATGCATGCATGGCAGGCTAAGTATGACATGGTGATATTGTAGGATCATATTATACCTTGTCGCCAATTTGAATGGCACCATCTCTCAAGAACACAAGGTTATCGCCAATTGATATGAAGAGTGCATTGAATGCTCCATGCATATTTAATCTGTCTCATGCATTGTCATCTGCAGCAAATAATTTCACATATGAAAAAATATAGTAAGTGGTTAACAAGAAGTCTCTGATGTCATATGCACTGAGATACATTGTTAACGCCTACTAAAACGGAGAGACATATATCTCTGATGTATTTGGGTTTGTTTTTCAAAACATCTATGTTATCCGATTCACAATCAATAGAAATACAAGTGTCTTGCATTTTAAAGATAGATTGGAATCAAAATTTGGGTTTAGTCCTATATCACAAATTATATATCAAAACCCGGTTCTTTTAAACCAACCACATTAAATTTTATCCACTTAAAGTGCGAGATGATGAAGATATTGAAAATATGTTCGTTAGTCACGAAGATTATGGTTTCAACTATATTGAGTTATATACTTTACTCCAATAAAATATTCCATCTCAGCAGTCTCAGATTATCGATCAATCAGAACATGCAGATTCAGATGAAACTGAAGCGAAATACTCAAATGAAACCGAAGTAGAAGTCAACGTCGTTGATGAAAAAGAAGAAGGAAGCAAGACACTGGTCGATCATCTGTTGAATAACACCACTAAAAATGACGATCAAGTGCCAATACCTCCAGGTCATGTATACTGTCTGCCTCAACATATGACAGACTTGGGCTTGCATGACGATGAAAGATCCTCAGATATTTTTTGCAATCTGCATATGTGGTCAGAGAATGAACTAAAAGTGGGAGACAAGTTTCGTACCAAAGAAGAATGTGTATGAGCCATTGAAAAATATCACATGGATAACTCTATTGATTTTATCATACATCAAACTGATTCGATAAGGTATGTCAGTATTTATTGTAACTAACTTTGCAAGTTTCGACTTGCTGCATCTTGCAGGAAGAGAAGTGATTCTTGGAAGATAGATTCCATAGAGCCACCTCATAGTTGTACTGCCATAAATATTTTTCAGGATTACCGAAAATTTCGCATGTTGTCCGTCACGACTGTTTATATTTTCGGTCGAAATCGTTTTGGACGTAACTTTTGATCCGTAAGTCCGTTTTGGCCCCCGTTCGAAGCGTTGGAAAGCTAATGAACAAGGCTATAACATAATATAAATAAGATAATTGATTGTCTAATATTTTTATGAGATTAAATACGTGATTGTATGATGAATTACCATGAGTATAACTATGATTCCGACGAGATTAATACATGATTGCATAATGATGATTCCTATGAGTAATAATGATGAGCTATGATGATATTTCCATGTGTTT